TGAGGATCCCCTGGGCGAGTCCCTGCGCATGTACCCCCAGCCGCCCATCCTCATCCGCCGGGCGCTGGGCGAGGACGTCCTGCCGGGGGGCCTGCGGGGAGACCCGGCGGGGTACCCCATTGGCACGGGGGCGGACCTGTTCATATCGGTGTGGAACCTGCACAGGTATGGCAGGGAGGGGGGCAGGGAGAGGGAGCTTGGTGTGTGGGGTGTAGGGTGTAGGGGATAGGGGGAAGACTGAGTGTGAATGGGAGTGATTTGGGTATTGGTGCTGGTGCTGGTGGTGGTGGTGGTGGTGGTGGTGTTAGTGCTGGAGCTGGTAGTACACCCCGCCCCTTTTACCCCCCACCTTCCACCCCGCCCCCCGGCTCTGCGCAGATCCCCTTACCTGTGGAAAGACCCCGACACCTTCCGTCCCGACCGCTTCTTTGAGTCGTACTCCAACCCGGACTTCGAGGGCAAATGGGCAGGTGCGTGTGTGTGTGTGTGTGTGTTTTGGGGAGGGGGAGGGGGCGGGGGCGGGGGCGGGCGGGGTGCGGAGTGAGGCCGGTGAAGATGAGCACCCAGCAGCTGAACTCCTAGGTAGTAAGGCTTTTCCTCACATAGGTTTCTCCTGCTCCTCTCCTTCTGGGTTGATGGCTCCGGGAAGAGGACGTCGAGCCAGCCAGCCAGCCAGCCAGCCAGCCACACCTCATCCGAATCCCCCCGCGCACCTCCTCAGCCCTACCTATAAGCATTACCTCTCTCCACCTCCACCTCCGTCTTCATCTTCACTTCCCGCCCACCCACCTACGTACGTGCCAATACACGCCGAACCAGCGAGCATCCACCTAGCCACACTGCCGCCGACAGTCACGCCGATGGTGTTATGGATCCCAGTGGGTTGAGCCGCTGCTGATGCCGCCGCATTCTTAGCACGGGGGTTGTGAAAATCGCTCTCGAATGCCCTTCCTGCCCTTGCAAACACATTCGCGAGGCTGGCATCCGGTCGATGGAGCCCCGTCGCCGGGAGTGCCGATGGCAACCCAACCACCCAATCAATCACCCAACCGACCACTCAACCAACCAACCAAGCACCCAAACTCTTACATCCACACCCCAGGCTACCGGCCAGACGCCGTATCGGGGGGTGCCGCGCTGTACCCCAACGAGGTGGGCTCCGACTTCGCCTTCATCCCCTTCGGGGGGGGAGCTCGCAAGTGCGTGGGAGACCAGTTCGCCATGTTCGAGGCCACTGTGGCGCTGGCGGTGCTGCTCAGGAGGTTCAGCTTCGCGCTGGAGGGGCCGCCGGAGAAGGTGGGGAGAGGGGGTGGGGTGGGGGAAATGGAGGAGGGAGTGGGAGTGGGAGTGGGAGGTGGGGAGGGAAGGAGGGGTTCGATGGGAGGTGGGGAGGGAAAGGGGGGAAAGGTGATGGCGAATCTAAACACGGCAGCTCGGGGCTGCCATGACTGAGGTCTGGGAGTGGGGATGTGGAGAAGACTTTTTCAAAGCGGTTATAAAGTGGCGCGTGTGCGTGTGTATGTGTTTTGCTGCCGTCCCGTGTTCCTGCCCCCCCCCAACCCCTTCTCCCCTACCCCCATCCACTGCCGGTTTCGGAGGGGTTTACTGCTCTCACCCTCCCCCTGCCGTGTCACCCTCTAAGGCTTGGATGCAAGGTGCATGACATAAGGCCTCTTGGACTTCCCTTTGCACGCCATTTAGAGCATCTTCCCTCCTTACCCTTTTTCATGGCTTTGGGCTTTGGGCTTTTCCTCGCAACCCGAGAACTCCCTTCTCCTCCTCGGCCCCCATCCCTATCCCCATCCCCCTCTTTCCCCCGGGGAAACCCCCCTGCCGCTCCAGGTGGGTATGGCCACGGGGGCCACAATACACACCGCCAACGGGCTCATGGTGCGAGTTAGCCGCCGTACACCGCCGCCACCACCGCCGGCACCGGCCGCGGGGTCTCCCAGGGAGGAGCAGCTCCCCCGGCAACCGGTGGCGGCGTGAGCGGGGCATGAGTGAGAGACCCGCCCGCAAAAACATACATATGCACACACATACATACAGACACACATATGCGGCCAGCCATGTTGTATAAACTGAGGCGCTTGGAGCCGCTGTGTCTATGTATGTGCGAGAGAGAGAGGGAGGGGGGCACACACATAGCGCTGTATGCGGTGTGCGTATAGTCTAGTAGGGCCGCGTGTGCTTAAGAGGGGCGCAAAAGGCGCACTGCGATGGCGCGAAGCACAGTCATGAACACGCACTGTGCTATCAGGTAATAGGTAGTGAAATATATGGAGTTATACATTCAGTAGTAGGGATGCGGTCGGCTGTCGAAGGATTAAAACAGGGTGGTGTATGTATGTATGTATGTATGTATGAATATTGGCAAGTGCAGGGCACCCGGTACAGTGGCCGCGACTTGCGGTTTCCGAGATGTTGATGGTTGCGGCGTGGTGGTGGTGGGTGGTAGTGGTTGCGGCGTGGTGGTGGTGGGTGGTAGTGGTTGCGGCGTGGTGGTGGTGGGTGGTAGTGGTTGCGGCGTGGTGGTGGTGGTGGTGGTGGTGGTCGTGTCTGTGCGGTTGCCTGCTGTCCCAAAAGAACATCTTTTGTGTGCGCCAGAGCCTGTCCGGGACTGTCCTATTTAAAATTTTGCTGTTGCGGCTGTTTGCCTGGTTTCTGTTCTCCCACCCAGTTTTGACGGCCGCTCTCTCGGCTCCAGAGAGAGAGCGGCGATGGGGCCGGAAAGGACGAGGACGGGGCAGCGCAGCGCGGGGCAGGGCAGGGCAGCTGCCTAGGTGCAAATCCCGAAGTGAACAGGGATTGGTGTGTGTGTATGTATGTTTGTGTGCGGGTGTGTATATGTGCATGTATGTATGTATGTGTAGGTGTTTTCTGTTACATATCGATCCGGGCCTGACACTGGCCAGGGGCATCTAACGTGAACGAACTAACGCCGAAGCCCTCTCCCCCTAGCGGGTGGAGGCGGGCCACAGTCGCAAATCCCTCGTTGCATCGCTGCACACCCGCAAGCAGCTGGACGTCTGCAGACCTTGAAGAGAACTGAAGTGCTGCAGAGGCCGCCTGCGTGTCTCTAGCTCTCATGTCATCGATGCGTCGGAGAGCGCGGGGAGGGGCCGATTTCGACTTGACTGTGTAATATGTCAACCGGGAACTGAAAAAAGGGGGGGGGAAAGGAACACAGGAGGCCAGGGAGGTGCGTAGGTAAGACAGCGCGCGCACAAATCAAGACACTGCTGCTCTGCACAGCCCAGAGCTGTGCTGGGGTATTGGGAGCTCGTCGTCATTGCGGCGAGCGGTTGCTTTCCCAGCCGGTGGCACACAAGGAGGACATCTGCGAGCTTTGCGCAGAAGTCAATAAGTCACAGTAAAGAAGCCATGAAGGCGCCTGGAATAAAAACGCGTCGTCGCTCTGGTCGGTAAGCGTCAAATCGAGTTCGGCAAGGTGATTGTTTGCAGGAGGAGACGAACTGCCCTCGCTTGGAAGCTGAAGCAATCAACCTCCTGAAAAATGCTTCGCGATAGTAATTGTATTATTCAGAGTTGAGAGGGATAAGCCAAAGCTCATGAAGAGAGCTCGTGCTTAGGTAAGTTAAGGTAGGTTTCGTTCCGGTTGGTTGTAACAATTGGGCACGGCATTAACTATGGGCGCTGGGGATCGATCAAAACATAATAAACGATAGCTATGATAGTATGACTGGCTATGCATCTTCCGACTATTCACAGCACAAATCTCCGTCGTAGATCGTTGCAGGCATGTACGAAAGGGCTAAAACTTCCCAAAAGTACCCTTAGGACGAAGAACACGAACTATTAATGTTGTTATCTGTTTCTGAATTTATAAAAGTTACGGACTTTTCAATTTATAAAAGTCGCGGCACACCCGGCCGAACAAGGAAGCTGATGTGTCTGACACACACCCGTAGTAATTATATGTCGGTCTCTACTGCGCAAGGCAATTGTACTTGCTCTTCGTACTTACATAGTATATGCGCGTCAGGCGAGGTTATAAAATGGGGCAAGTCCATAGTGTTAAGCCAACCGGGTCCAACAGTCAACCTTGCATTATAATTGCTTACCGTTAAACAGCTCGCTACTCAGCTACCTCAATTAAAACTGATACGGTAAGCCTCAAAATCTAGAAGAATAATGCTAATATGCCCTTCTTGGCTGTGCATCAACCGGAACTGATGCTTCGGACGAATGCATAGAGAATTTAGACTAACGCGTCCCTTTCATCTTCGAATCTGATCAACTAACAGGACTCGAAGTCACCAAACAAGATGGGTCGTTTATTGATGCCGGTGGTGCTGGCATTGCTCGCCGCAGCAACTATCCAAGGTAAACGGCGCTCGCGCTTGCAATTTATACTCCGCGGATTATTGGCGTTATCTTCTATATTATGATATTATGGCTTACTTATGGACATTGGCAGATCCATGGTAGAACCCTCTACATCGGCTGCCTACCTAACGACAGGACATTTCCAATCACCAAAAAACTTTCCGATAAATGTTCAACAGGTGTGAACGGTCGTGAACAGAACAAAGGTCATGATGTTCCCGGCAGCGTCTTCTCCAAGCCTTCGGAGCACAACGAGACCCATCCAACGATGCCGCCGATGCCGTACAACGCCAGCCGCCCGGACTGCAATGGCACCAAGGGCAATGAAACCCACCCACCCGCCGCTTTGCCGGGCAAGGGCCACGGCCGCGGTCTGCTGGGGAAGAGTGGCAAGGGTGGCAAGGACGACTTCTCCAAGCCTTCGGAGCACAACGGGACCCATCCAAAAATGCCGCCGATGCCGTACAACGCCAGCCGCCCGGACTGCAATGGCACCAAGGGCAATGAAACCCACCCACCCGCCGCTTTGTCGGGCAAGGGCCACGGCCGCGGTCTGCTGGGGAAGAGTGGCAAGGGCGGCAAGGACGACTTCTCCAAGCCTTCGGAGCACAACGAGACCCATCCAACAATGCCGCCGATGCCGTACAACGCCAGCCGCCCGGACTGCAATGGCACCAAGGGCAATGAAACCCACCCGCCCGCCACTTTGCCGGGCAAGGGCCACGGCCGCGGTCTGCTGGGGAAGAGTGGCAAGGGCGGCAAGGACGACTTCTCCAAGCCTTCGGAGCACAACGGGACCCATCCAACAATGCCGCCGATGCCGTACAACGCCAGCCGCCCGGACTGCAATGGCACCAAGGGCAATGAAACCCACCCGCCCGCCACTTTGCCGGGCAAGGGCCACGGCCGCGGTCTGCTGGGGAAGAGTGGCAAGGGCGGCAAGGACGACTTCTCCAAGCCTTCGGAGCACAACGGGACCCATCCAACAATGCCGCCGATGCCGTACAACGCCAGCCGCCCGGACTGCAATGGCACCAAGGGCAATGAAACCCACCCGCCCGCCGCTTTGCCGGCCAAGGGTCACGGCCGCGGTCTGCTGGGGAAGAGTGGCAAGGGCGGCAAGGACGACTTCTCCAAGCCTTCAGGGCACAACGAGACCCATCCAACCATGCCGCCGATGCCGTACAACGCCAGCCGCCCGGACTGCAATGGCACCAAGGGCAACGAAACCCACCCACCCGCCACTTTTCCAAGTCATGGAGGTCGGAAGCTGCTTCGTCAGATATTACCAAATCAACGTTAAGATGATTTTCGGCCTTCGCGAGGGTCATCCCTAAGGTGTGTGAGGGAGTAATTCTGCAAACGTTTATTCGGCAATGGTTATAGGGTGGTAGTAGGAGTAGTAGCAGCAGTAGCATTAGTATTAGTGGTAGTAATAGTAGGTACTACAGCGAGCCCAGACCCCAAGGGAGGTATCCCAGGGTACTGGGGCCATTGGGGCACAGCGGGACTGCCGTACACTGCACTGGAGTTTTGCTTGATGGTTTGTTTCATTGACATCACTAGAGAGCGTTTGGAGACGAAACCAGTGCTTGGGCACTGGTATCTGTTTTTTTTTGCAGCCACGTATGCCTAACGCCGTTGGGTGGGAAGCAGGGGGATGTTCTTCTATCAGATTGTATTGCAGTACATCACCGTACGTTGCCTGAGCGGTCGATAGAGCGACGTCGTCAGCGCTGCTGAGTGGACTCAGTATTGCACCCCTGTTGTTCCTTCGACTATCCGGCGCTGCAGGTACTGCTCAACGACTCGGCATGGCCCCCAGGGATGGGTTGCCTCCGTTGTGACACTGCAGTCATATTGAAACATGCTTGAGCGACGGCGGATGCTTTACTCGCAAGCTTTCAAAAAACAGTTATAGAACCGGGGCCAGATGCAACCAGCAGTGGAAATCGGACTGTGTGCGAAGTGACCTTTTTGCAGGCGTAGCGAAGCAATGCGTGCAGCGCGCAGTGGTTTCCGAGAGAGTGAGTAGAAAAGGTAAAATTCAAAATTTGCATCCCATTAACACCTTATTGCATTGGGATGTTTTTGGGATGAAAATGGTGTGTGATTAGATCTCACCATTTCCATGAAATCATCATGATTGTCATCATCATTATCACCATTATCATCATAACTTATATTACTTTTGGTAACGTCCATCAATCTTAACGGAACGGCGCATACAGGGTTATAGGAATGCATGGTGGTTCCTCGCACAGCTTGGGAGGAAGTATGTCTCTGTGCCATTCTGTGCCATTTCTGCAAGCAGTGATGGGGTGCGTTGGCTTTGGGCAGGCAGGAACCTGTACACAGGACGAGTTGCGTGTCATGTGAATGTCCGTATTGGGTGGCTGTAGTATCCCGGGCACCAGTATCACGGGATCTGCATCCGCCGATCGGTCCTTTTGCGAAGTCGTGATATAGCAGTGGCTGGCGCGGTCTTGTTGCCCTTTCTTTTTATAGGTATTATTGCTTCGTACGCACGTAACTACTGTTTTGACATTGCGGCACCACTGCCAAGAAACGTTGTGCTGCCTGCGCGTTGTGCAGCTGCACAGCCGTGTATATATTCACCAGGTATAGCCCCCAAGAGATAAATGCTATTGAGCGTAGCAGTCGATAAGCGTTCATAACTAACACTTGCGTTACGTTAGCCGTGTGCCCAACAGTTTTAGCAAACGTATAAAGTAGACTCTCGTTACCCTGCAGCCTGACAGACAGGGCTCGACAGAGGTACTTTGTTATGGGGTGCTTTATTAGTCCATGGATGACGAGCCGTTGGCCTCCCCCGCCCGGGGCGTATATGTGCACCTGCAGAGAGCTGAGTGGTGGATACGGTGGATTATTGCTTGCAAGCATTGCATGGGATGCAAAGCATTGAATGGACTGCGAATTCTGGGGGCCCGGTTACCGTATCGCTGGATTCTTGGTTGGGACTTTCGCAGCGGATAAGGGTATTGGCGATGATTGGGTTTCTTCTTGCGTTGCTGCTAGCAGTTATGATCATCGTTATCATCGTGGTTTAAGACTCGGCCCCTCGTTGTTAGGCCCCTGTATGCACTCCGGGGTTCACCTTGCCGGATTCTTTGTTGTTATTCGTGGTTACCAGCTGTATTTCCTATCTTTTTTTATTTTTCCACTCTTTCTCTAGCCTAGCAAGATTACATCAGTAATTCTAAGTAAGCAAGGGACGGTCGTGAAGCCCTCGGACAAGATCCAAAGATGCACATTCGCCTAATCACGCCTCATCATACGTACATGACCGTATGTCCGAAGGATTGTGGTTGATAAATGTGAGTTCGGGAACCCTCTTTCGTGCATGGACATTGTATTTGTGTAAGTCATCAACGAACAGTCTGCCGTACGCACATACTTTGTCGAGGCTACATACAGTCATATGACCCGGCATACGTCCCATCTCCTCTCTCTCCTTACATCTTAGCTTTGGCCCTTGTAGAGAAGGTTGCAGAGTGCCACGCGGTCCTGTACGGACCCGTTGTAGCTGCGTCACTTCATTGACCGTGAAATCGCCACCTTTTAGCCGCCACATGCAATGGATCTCTTGGTGATCACCGCCTAGGTAGGGTAGGGTAGGGTAGGGTGCATGGTCGATGGAACATCTCGGATTATGAATCAGGGACAGCAACGCCAAGACATCAGGCACGATAACTTAAGGTTACAGTTTCCCAAGGCTCTAAGATTGCCCTTAAGAGCTCAGGGGCCATGCATTGAGAATGATGGCATATGGATAAAATGTCCATAAACGGCAAAACGGGTCGATGCACCCTCGGTGACACACCTAGGCAAATGCGTGTGGGAATGTCTGAGTGTCGGTTGCAAAGGAAAGGGCAATAGACAGGCGTCAAATTTCATTAATGTATTATACGCGAAGAAAGTAGGTGTGTGTGTGTGTGTGTGTGTGTAACAACATGGTCGTGGGGTGTGTTCCCCCGTACCTGCAAACCGCCCAATACAAGCCGAGGAAAGTATGCAGGCTGCTGACGGTACTGCAGCGACGCGTTAGCGTCAGACAACTGGGCGCCGTTTACAGCTTGAAACGTTTGAGCCAATAAACGTCCGTCGCTTCATTATACTGTGGAATCCTAGAACACGGTGTTTCGTTAATCTATAGCCAGCCTTTGAAACCCGCGTGCGCATGTTCTATTTTCTTACCAGGACGCGGTTCCCCTCATTCATTCATTCCCCCCCATGCCCCGATCGGGGCAGCCCCTAGATCCCGACCCGTAGGATTTAGTTGGCGGTTGGGAGGCTGACCCAGGCGTCCGCTTCGCCTGTACGGCTAGTGAATGACTTGGTTGTTGGTCCCACACTTGCAATATCGTTTCCTAACCCACACACTATTACACTGTGTTTATTCTTACTATATACGACAGGTGAAATTTCGTATCCTGAGAAGAGCCGTGCGTGGTGCCGCGCACGGTGGGCAGGGATGGCGAGTCTATCTTCAGCTATCCTCATTACGGACGAAGGAGGACGATGATGGTCCACCACGTAACCGCACTAAAAACGATTTACCGTCCATAGGGCCCCCCCCGGCTTTTACGGACACCCCCGCACTTGTGCGGGACTTGTAACTTGTAACATTACGGCCCTCAAACCCAAAGGGCCCTCGTATCTGAACGAGCAAGCAGCGCCACCAATAGACAAACATGGTGAAGCTTCCAATAAACATACATAATGAATCGCGTTAACTCGCCTACTGAGCCTCTGAGGCCCTGACTTATCTGAAAGTACGCCATCACTCAAGCTAGCGTTAAAAGCGCCCTTGGCACCGAATAATAACTGGTACACTCCAGGAGCAATACTTCCTGTCACGACTCAACACTTTAAATCAACTTTTACCGACAGCCCTACAACGATTATTGCCCAGCTGTTGCCCCAAGAGCAGCGTCAAGTAACTTGCCGCATGTGTGTGTGTGTGTGTTACATGGTTGGGGGGTGCGTGACCCCATACCTGTAAAACTACCCATACGAGCCGAAGGTCCAAGGGCAATACTACAACGCCTAAAAGCCACGGAGAAAAGGAAACACCGCACATCAGCCCAGACTAGCGTCCAAAAGGGGTAACTGAGTTTCGGTGAGCGCACATACGTTCCAACATCCTCGCCAGACGTGTTGGCTCCCATTTCATGGCCTCCAACATGCTCTGTTGATGATCGAATCCCTCTTCAGCACGAATATCATTATAGGCTGGGGATTCCAATAACACGTGTTTTTGATCCTCGCTTCGGCTATTTATACCACAACAGGCAGGCGAGTGGCAGAGGTTAAGGCCTGGCTTCTGCTCCCGGCGCGTCCGGGTTCAATCCGCCTGCCGACCTCTCGGGGTGTTTGAGAGGTGACGAAATGGGAAGGGGCCCCACATCTTGTGGACGGTAAAGGACGTGATAAAATCAACTTGCGAGCTGTCCAGGAACTAAGTTGACGCGCCGTTGATCCGCTAGATTTGGTTGGATGCTGGTGGCGAGTTGCCAAACTTAAAGAGTACATTCTTAAATCGGATGGGGTGAGAATGGATTAGGGTGCCCCTCTAGCAGGGGAGAGCAGGGAACTGCCTCGGGAAGGAGGCCACTGGTGAAGCTTAACCACCCTGTAACAACATCAACAGCGACAAAACCGCTGCCCCATGGGGACATGGGGACATGGTACTTGCCTCTTCGTGCTCTGTTTGCCTCCAGAGCCCAGCAACATAAACGAAACTGCATTAGCTTACGATGTGCTAAACGAGGAATGAAAACCTTAGCATGTGTTGGCCACATGACGGCTGCGGCTCCCGAAAAGGGCAGCCCCGTGCAGTGCTTATACTTAGCCATTTGCACTCCCGGTTGCTTCCCATCTGATGGGTACTCCTCTGGCAAGGCATTCAGACGCGTGTAAAGTAAAGCATGTGCCGCATGTAAAGAAAAAAGGCAAATTGTAGGAGCTGCCAGACCAACACACCGCCTCTTGTTCGCAGAGCTATCGCAGCTACCCCTACACTACCACGTTCTCAAGCAGGTTGTGAAATTTTGGAACCATGTCCGTTTACAGCCTGGGTCTGTGGCACACCAAGTTTTGCGACAGGAGGTCGCAGAATCCCTCTCCAACCCCGAAGGGCCCGGATGGGGGACACTACTCCTTCGTTTTCTATGTTTTTTGGGGCACGATGTATGGAAGGAGGCCCCGCAAGGGCTACACGAGGTAGACGAACGAGTGGAGTGGCTGATGAACAGGCCAATGCCAGAAGGTGTGATTTTGGAGTTCAAGGACCGATTAATGAGTGGTTGGAAGCATACGCGTTTAGATGCCCAGCCTGACGTGTATCCGTCAGACGGCAAGCAACCAGGAATCCACATGGCGAAGTATAAGCATTGGATGGGGCTGGCGGCCGAGCAAGCGGGCAGGAAGGAGGTGCTCCCGCACATCACAATGTTTATCCCACGTTCGGCGAATCGCAAGCTTATGCAGTTTAGGCTTTGCTGTTGGGCACTGGCGGCTAACAGAGCGCGTAAGGGACGGCGTTATATACCTAGGGAGGAGCGAGTATGCCCTTGCTGCGGCACTGATAGCCACATCGAGGATGAGAAACACATTTTGCTGGACTGTCCGGTTTACGACGAAATCAGATCTGATATGGGCTTTCCACGCTTCGAACATATGAAGGACGCTATGAAGTGGGAACCTGAACGCCTGGCAAGGATGCTGGAACGTATATGGTCTCACCGCAACTCTATCGTTCCCTTTGGTCGTTAGTATCCTTCATCACTTGTCTCGTTGGAAGTGCGAGGTAGGATGGTGCTTATAGGCGATTTGGCAGCCCTTGAGCCCTCGGCTCGTACTAG